GAGCGCTCGCCTTGAGCTGAAGAGCTGAGGGACAGCGCCCAGGCCCAGAGTTCAAGCCCCACGACCGACAAAAAAAAAAAAGATTTTTCAGCCCAGACTGTACTACCACTTGAGCTACATCTCTACTTCCGGATTTTTTATTTTTATTTTTGTCGGTTGTGGGGATTGAACTCTGGACCTGAGCACTGTCCCTGTGTTCTTCAGATCAAGGTGAGCGCTCTACCACTTGAGCCACAGCACCACTTCCAGTTTTTTGCTTTTGTTTTGTTTTCCAGGGCTGAGGACCAAACCCAGGGCCTTGCGCACACCAGGCAGGCGCCCTTCCGCTGGGCTAAATCCCCAGCCCCCTACTTCTAGTTTTCTGAGTGGTTTATTGGAGATAAGAGTCTCACGGACTTACCTGCCCTGGGCTGGCTTTGAACTGTGATCCTCAGATCTCAGCCTCCTGAGTAGCTGGGATGACAGGCGTGAGCCACCAGGTGCCCAATGGATTTTTTTTTTTTTCTGGTTAGCAATATTTGGATTTATCTGGCTGGCTTCAAGCCTTGGTCCTCAGCCAACAGGACTGCAACCAGCTATTGAGATCAGGTCTTGGGCTTGCCTCAAAGTATAATCCTCTCCCATCTTGTCCCCCAGGTAAGTAGGGTTACAGGCAGGAGCCATTGTTGGCCAGTTGACCAGAGACTTTAACCCTGCCCAGAGCGGCTCCAGCAAGCCCTAGGTAGATCACTTTTCTGGCTGCCTTTGCATTTACACCTCTCCTTTTATTATTGTGTGGTGGGACTTGAACTCAGGGCCTCCTGGTGCTGTACCTTTTGAGCTTCCATTTCTGTTTTTTTGCTGGTCAACTGGAGATAAGTTTCATAGACTTTCCTGCCCGGGCCTCCTGAGTAGCTAGGATGACAGATGTAAGCCCTTTTTCTTATATGACTATGACACCCCCCAGCTCCCAAAGGTCTGTCTAGGAAGGGGAAGTCCCAGAGCAAGCTGGCGGTGGCGAGCTGAAGTGAAGGAAACGCACCACTTCCTCCTGGACCCAGCCAGCAGCCCTGCCAGAGGGCCCGGCGACTCCGCCCCTCCAGAATGTCCAGCCAGGATCTGAGGTACGCCAGCCCAGGGAACTCCCTGGCCTGGGTGGGGAGAAGATGGATGCTGGGAGGAGAGCCCCGCCCTCCCCCAACTTAGCTGACTAGTCTGTGGAGTTGCCAGCATTTGTGTCCTTAGAAAAAGTTAAGACGTCACCTAATTAGATTCATTTGTGAGGAAATCTACCACCCAGAGACTTCACTGGTTTGCCTTTTGCCTGTAAGATAAGATCATTTTTACTACGCCCCACGGGGTCTGAGAAGGCTTTTCCTTTTGTTGGTCGGATATGGGGTTTGAATTCTGGGCCTGGGTGCTGTTCCCCAGCTCTTCAGCTCAAGGCTGGTGCTCTACCACTTGAGCCCCAGCGCCACTTCCGGTTTTCTGGTGGTTCATTGGAGATAAGAGTCTCATGGAGTTTCTTGCCTGGGCTGGCTTTGAACCTCGATCCTTAGATCTCAGCCTCCTGAGTAGCTAGGATGACAGGCGTGAGCCACCGGTGCCCAGCAAAGCTTTTATTTTCTGTGTCTTTATTTCTCTTTTTTTTTTTTTAACCAATCTTGGAGCTTGAACTCGGGACCTGGGCGCTGTCCCTGATCCTCTTTGTGCTCAAGGAAAGTGCTCTACCACTTGAGCCACAGTGCCCCTTCTTCTGGCCTTTTCTGAGTAGTTTATTGGAGATACCGAGGCTCATGGACTTTGCTGCCTAGGCTGGCTTTGAACTGCAACCTTTAGATCTCACCTTCTAAGTAGCTAGGATTACAGGTGTGAGCCACTGATTGGTACCTGACTTCTCAAATACTTTATGGGAGACCGGGTACTGTCTCTGAGAGCTTTTTTCTTTCTTTCTTTCTTTCTTTTTTTTTGGCAAGGCTAGAGAAAAACTTGAGCCATAGCTCCAGTTCTGGCTTTTTGGTGGTTAATTGGAGATAAAAGTCTTATGGGCTGAGTGCTGGTACTCAAGCCTGTAATCCTAGCTACTTAGGAGACTGAGATCCCAGGGCCAGGGTTTGAGGCCAGCCTGGGCTGAAAAGTCTCTTGTGAGACTCTTTTCTTCAGTTAACCACCGGAAAACCAGGAGTGGTGCTGTGGTTCAAAGTGGTAGAGTGCTGGACTTGAGCTGAAGAGCTCGAGGATAGTGCCCTCGGTCCAAGCCCCACAAGTGACAAAAACGAAGACGTCTCAGAGGCTTTCCTGCCTGGGCTGGCTTCAGACTGTGATCCTCAGATCTCAGCCTTCTGAGTAGCTGGTGTGGCAGGGGTGAGCCGCTGGCAGGCGGCTTTTAGCAATGGCTCTCCCCGGCCCCCGGCCTTAGTTCTTAGGACCCTCACCGACACCGTAGGCAGGTTTTACACTGAGGAAAAGGAAGGGAACTTGCTCAAGGAGACAGCACAGCTCCAGCTTCTGCCTGAGCTTGTTGGTTCCTTTGAAAACTTGTCTACGCATGGTTGCAAGGGTGACTGGGGGAAAGGCCCTGAGGCAGAGCTGAAGCCCGCGGGGACCCTTCAGGGGCCTCCTTCCCAGAATCCCCTGTGGAGTCAGGTCACAAGGCTGGCAGAGAGGCATTGTGGGCTCCCCGATCAGCTCCCAGCAGGCCACGGGGCCAGCAGCTGCCTCCTCTGCCCTCCTCCCCAGCCCCCCCCATTCACTGCCTCTCTCCTTACCATGGCCTAGCATCACCGCCAAACTCATCAATGGAGGTGTAGCAGGGCTCGTGGGGGTGACCTGCGTGTTCCCCATTGACTTGGCCAAGACCCGGCTACAGAACCAGCACGGCAAGGATGTGTACAGAGGAATGTAGGTATCGCGGGGCTGGGGATGTGGTCTGCATGGAGAGCCCGGGAGAGGCTGGCGGGCCACGCCCCGGTGATCCCGAACTTGCCTGTCTGGTCTCTTTCCAGGGTAGACTGCCTGGTGAAGACGGCCCGCGTGGAGGGTTTCCTGGGCATGTACCGAGGTGAGCTGCGGGCCTGGGCCGGTGCGGACGGCGGGCGTGATGGGCTGCGCGCCTGGGCCGGTGCGGACGGCGGGCGTGGATGGGCTGCGGGCCTGGGCCAGTGCAGACGGCGGGTGTGGATGGGCTGCGGGCTGTGGGCGTGTAGCATATTGCCGGAGGGCTGCCGGACCACACGGTTCCCCTGCATTGCCTGGCCTTTCCGGCCCCTTCACATCAGTGCGCACTTGTGCCACATGGAAAGCCAGGGAGCCCCATCTCACTCCCAGTGTCTCTCCAGCTAACTAGATAAAGGGTGGACAGGGCTGTGAGCAATTCCCCAACATGACCCCAGGAGACTGCTGGCCGCCTGCGGCGTCCCTATCCACCATCGGGTCTCAGCTTGTGTTTCCACCACCTGAGAAACACATTGGAAACCTCGCACACTACCCAGCTGCCCAGGGTGCAGGGAACATGAAATCAGCCGGCCCTGTCTCTGGGGCTCACGGTGATCTGCATGTACCACCAGGACAAGAGCGCTTGGTTCCTGGACACGGTTCCACAGCGAATGAGCATTAAAAAAAAAGAAGATGGGCAGGGCGCCGGTGGCTCACGCCTGTCATCCCAGCTACTCAGGAGGCTGAGCTCTGAGGATCACAGTTCAAAGCCAGCCCTGGCAAGAAAGTCCATGAGACTTTATCTCCAAATAAACCACTAGAAAACCGGAAGTGGCGCTGTGGCTCAAGTGGTAGAGCGCTCACCTTGAGCTGAAGAGCTGAGGGACAGCGCCCAGGCCCAGAGTTCAAGCCCCATGACCAACAAAAAAAAAAAGAAAGAAAATGGGCTGGGAAGGTGGCTCAGTGGCAGAGTGCTCACCTAGCACGCATAAAGCCCTGGGTTCGATTCCTCAGTACCACATACACAGAAAAAGCTGGAAGTGGCGCTGTGGCTCAAGTGGTAGAGCGCTAACCTTGAGCAAAAGAAGCTCAGGGACAGTGCCTGGGACCCGAGTTCAAGCCTCAGGATCAGCCCCCTCCCCAAGAAAAATAGCCTAAGGAGCTCTGCTGGACTCCATGGGGGTGGCCTTGTACTGTGCCTAAACTAACTGCTGTGTGTCCTTCACTCCAGAGCCTGCCCGGCCTGTGCCGAAGGGACTCACATTTTCATGCCTCACCGCAGGTGCTGCAGTGAACCTTACCTTGGTCACTCCAGAGAAGGCCATCAAGCTAGCAGCTAATGACTTCTTCCGGCAGTTGCTCATGGAAGACAGGTACAGCTTGGTGGGGGCGGGGGTCAAAAATCCTTCACTGTGGGGCTGGGAAGGTGGCTCAGTGGTAGAGCGCTTGCCTTGCATGCCTGAGGCCCTGGGTTCCATTCCTCAGCACCACATAAGCATTAAAGTCAGAAGTGGTGCTGTGGCTCAAGTGTAGAGCACTAACCTTGAGCTGAAGAGCTGAGGGACAGCACCCAGGCCCAGAATTCAGGCCCCACGAAGGGCAAAAAAAAAATCCTTCACTGTGTGTCATTTTGGGGGCAGAGGATTGCAAATGTGACTCAGTTTACCTCTCAGAAGTGTATACACACACACACACACATGTGGCTGATTGCCAGCATCTGTTCTGACAGAACAGAAGGGACAGAATGTTCCAGGATGTGGGAAAGACAGGTAGATGGTATACGAACATACAGGTCCAGGCTACACAGGAGGCTGAGATCTGAGGATCTAAGTTCAAAGCCAGCCAGAGCAGACAAATCTGAGACATAAAAATCAGGAACTTGGCTGGTGGTGGCTCACATCTATAATTCTAGCTACTCAGGAGGCTGAGATCTAAGGATTGCAGTTCGAAGCCAACCCACCCAGGAAAGTCTGTGAGGCTTATCTTCAATTGACCACCAGAAAACCAGACGTGGCTCTGTGGCTCAAAGTGATAGAGCGCTAGCGTTGAGCAAACAAAGCTCGGAAATAGCGTCTGGGCCCTGTGTTCAAGCCCCAGAATTGCCGAAATAAAATTAAAAAAAAGAACTGTAAGCCTGGTTAAAGTGTCCTTGAGCAAGAAAGCTAAGCACCAGCCCAAGGTCTGAGTTCAGTCCCCAGTACCACACAAAAACAGCACAGAACATCTGACTATACACACATAGCATCGAGTAGCCGTGACTCTTCACACAGTCAGAGTCCAAGCCTCCTTGGGTTCTCTGTCCTCCCTCTGCCCGAGGGACAGTATTTAGGAGGTCAGGAGTCTGACAGCATCTTTCAATTTAGTCTCAGGAGACTGAGCCTGAGGATTGGGTTCTTTACCCAGGCTGGGTGGGTAGGACCCCGTGGTGACAGGTCAGGGTACGGGAACAGGTCTCTCCAGCCTGGGACTGAAGGACTGATCCCGGGTGCCACAGGACACAGCGGGACCTGAAGATGGAGATGCTGGCCGGCTGTGGGGCTGGAATGTGCCAGGTGGTGGTTACCTGCCCCATGGAGATGCTGAAGATCCAGCTGCAGGATGCTGGGCGCCTGGGTAAGGTGTACCCCGTCTTATCTTCAGCCTGGGGAGGCTGGCGTCAGAGCAGATCGCGTCCACCGCCCTCCTGTGCTCTGTCTGGCCCCGGTCCAAGCCAACGGAAGCCTTTATCCAACAGCTCATCCCTTCCAGTACTCTCATGCAGAACCCGGGCACCCCAATACTTCCGTCGGACCTCCTTGATACTTGGGCTGGGATTCCCTAAAGATTTTAAGGATAGGAACTGGGCAAGTGGCTCTGTGGAGGAGCATGAGGGGTCTGTCCCCCACTCAGGGTCGGGGTCGGGATAGGGCTGTATTCGTATGCCACGGCAGCTAGCTTTTAACACACAGAAAGGCTCCAGTTTTTCGTGCCCTTTCCTAAATCCTGAGTCCTGAAGATGCAGAAAAGCGAGGGTTGGTCACCTTCCCAGTGGAAGCAGCCAGCCGCCCCTCAATCCCCTCCTCCCCGCCCCCCCCCCAACCAATATGCCCAGTATAGCCTCTGTTAAGGACTGGGCAGTCCAGCTGTGCAAGAATTCAGTCAGGCTCTAGCGTGGATTAGATCAGCCTGAAGCAAGGGGGAACTCCAGGAAGAATAAGAGGTCAGGCTCTAGAATCGCCCCCAGTGTGTCTGCAAGAGACAGAGACAGATCCTTTACCAAGCTAGCCTTTGAACCTGGCTGACAAGTCCGAGTATTCCTCTATTGGCCCGGGGCTCAAGCGGTAGATTAACTGCCTAGCCAGCACAATACCCCGAGTTCAAGTCCGGGTGTTCCCACCCCTGCCCTCACCAAAATGTGTGCGTTGGAGACAGTCTCACCAATATAGCGTACGCTGACCTGGGACTCAAGGTCCTGCCTTGCTACTGTGCCCAGATAATAGGCTCTAAAATGGGTTGACATCTACGAGTCAAGCTCCATAAAATGAAGAAGGGCGTGAAGGAGATGTGCAGCCTAACCTTAGAGTGGCATCCGAATGGCCCCCGGAAGACCAGAGAGGTTCATTTCTTTGTCCTCAAGAGCTTACAGGTTAAAACTATCTAAAAAAAAAATCAGAGATGGTTAAGAAATGGGCAAACGATCAAAACTAGTCCTGAGGTCCTTAGGGACTGGGTTGTGCTGTGACAGAGGGAGACCATGGATTGGGCTACCGTTATGAGGTGATGCCCGCCCGGGACCCAAAGCTCTGACACGGGGACCATTTCCACCGTGCCGGCGTGATTCCTGCGCTAATTGGCGGGCGTGGTGGAGATGGAAGCTGGCCTTTGCTTTCCCTCCCAGCAGCCCACAGCGCCGGCATGCCGTCCGCCTCCAGACGCCCGTCCGCCACGCTCATTGCCCAGGAGCTGCTTCGCACGGAGGGCCTGTCTGGTCTCTACAAGGGCCTGGGGGCCACTCTCCTCAGGTGAGCCCTCTTCCTGACATGGGACCCTGCAGCCCTGAGGCCGGCCGGGATTCCGAAGGCTCCTGGTCCTGCCAAGGACTGCAGTCAGCCGGGAGCAAGCTCTGTCCTCCCCCTGCCTACCCCTTCCCCCCAGCCTGTGGGGGGCCGGGGCCTGGGAGGCACCTGTACCTCCACCAGCACAGGGGGCTGTGACCTGGGGCGCAGCCACGCAGCTGTTCTCCTTCGCCCGTAGGGACATCCCCTTTTCCATCCTGTACTTCCCCCTGTTCGCCAACCTCAACCACCTCGGGGTCCATGAGCACACAGGAAAGGCGTCCTTCGCTCACTCCTTCCTGTCCGGCTGTGCGGCAGGGTCCGTGGCAGCTGCCGCGGTCACCCCCCTGGACGGTATGTGTGCAGAAGCGAGGGTGAGGGGCGGGGTTTCGGGGCTGGCCCGCTCTGTGGATCGGGCCTTGGTCTCACTGCCCATGGCTGCCGGGGGCCGGTCAGCTGCGGTCCTCACAGCCCAAGGGGGTCTCACTGCTGCCAGCACTGGGAGTCCCCTCACCTCACCGCTTTAGGTCACCCATCCCCCCAATTGCTCCTTCCTGGAAAGTAGGGGTCCCCCTCACCCAATTGCTTTGGCTTCCCCTGGCAAGGGGGTGCCCTGGCTGCCAATGACAGCTGACCTTTTAGAACTTGAGGCCGAGGTGGGAGGTGAATCCTCACAGGGCCACAGCCGGCCCGCTCCCACGGGGACCCTTTGCAGCCCAGGTGCCCCAGGGCCATATGGCCGTGGAGGAAGTGGAGGAAGGCGGGTACGATCACGCAGGCCTTGTGCTTGTATTCTCTGAAGGGATCGGACTGCTCTGTCGAGCTCGAGATGTTCATTACTTGTCTTAACTTTCCAATCTAGTTCTGAAAACTCGAATCCAAACCCTCAAGAAAGGGGTGGGTGAGGAGACCTACAGCGGGGTCACGGACTGTGCCAGGTAAGACGGAACCCGAGACCGCGTTGAAACCTGCTTTGGTCTCTCCACCATGTTTCCACCCCAAGGGTGGAGCCACTCCAGCCTCTGTAGTGTGGCCAGACTCCGCGTAGAACCGGAAAGGCCTGGCCCCTCCTACCTCCCCCTCCGGTTGCCCCAGCCTACACAGCAAGCCCCGAGCCAGCCTGTCAGGACAGAGTCCACAGCTCACCCAAGGCTCTCCTTCTCCACAGGAAACTCTGGACTCAGGAGGGACCCTGGGCCTTCATGAAGGGAGCGGGCTGCAGGGCCCTGGTCATAGCGCCTCTTTTCGGCATTGCCCAGGGGGTCTACTTTGTCGGGATTGGAGAGCACGTCTTACAGTACCTTGAGTAGACCTAGAGCCGGTCCTGCCCTGTATACTACCTCAGTTACAGATGCAGCAGCGGAGGGAGTCTACAGCCCCTTCTTCGTGAAATCTGAATTTCCTTTAGGAGGGGGAGACTGCTAGAGATGCCCAGAATCCCCTAACCACCTGTTTCTAACAAGAATAATCCTTGTTTTTGGCTGTAAAGACAGAAGAGCTATTTTTTTTTTTTCAGGTAACATTCCCAATTCACACCCAGGTTCAGTATCCCTGAGTTGGTGTGAGGGTTAAATGTTGTTTTATGTTGAATTAAAAGCCTTACTGTGAGCACTAGCATTGCTAGGAGCCTCCTTCACCCAGATGAACAGCCAAGTCAGGCCGGCTCTCCTGCAGTGCGGCCCAGGCCCTTCCCATGGCGTCCCTGAATGGGGGGCCTCGCTGTGTAATTGAGGGGCGCGGCGGCGGCGCTTTCACGCCGGGCTTGGAGTCTTGCTTCTGGCTCCTGTCTGCAACACCTCGAGGAGCTGACAGTTCTCCACACAGGCGGTTCCCTCCCCCACAAGCTGCTTCAGAGGAAATAACCTCACACAGACGGTCCGTCAGTCCTGCTACATCTGTTCCCACCTCCCGGGAGACGTGGGTCTGTGAGGAGAGAATGGTGCTTTTCTCCCCAGCTCTGCTCTGTGTGGCTCATTTGCCAAGGAACGGAGGGAAGCTTGTGAGAGATTAGTCTAGCATAAGTGACTAACTCAGCCAGGAACGAGGGAGGGGCTCGGTGGTAGAGGGACGCTCCCTGTGTGAGGCCCCCGGGTTCCATTCCATCTTCAAGGGATGGAAGGAGTGGCGAGCGCAGGTTCACGGTCCTGAAGTTAACTTGGGCGATGGATGGCCGGGGGAGAAGTAAGGTAAATAGTGGCTTCACGGGCCAGCAGCTAGGAATCATCAAATTAGGTGTTTGAAAGTTGTTCTTTTAAAGCTAGGGTCTGTAATCCCAGGCTGGACCCCAACTTCTGGTTCAAGGGAGCAGCCTGCCAGTCTCTCCTGAGGAGGCTGAGACAGCAGTACTTTACTCAAACCACAAACGCTTAAGAAACTACAAGTGGGGCTGGGAATGTGGCTTAGTGGTAGAGCATGCATGAAGCCCTGGGTTCAATTCCTCAGTAACACAGAGAAAAAGCTGGAAATGGGGCTGTGGCTCAAGTGGTAGAGTGGTAGCCTTGAGCAAAAAGCAGCTCAGGGACAGTGCCCTGGCCCTGAGTTCAAAGCCCCAGGACTGGCAAAAGCAAAAGACAAATAAATACACGTAAAGCTTTTGTTTTAATAAATAAAGAATTTGGGTGGTGTAGGTTTTAAGTCACACTTACAGACGAGGAAAAGTGAAGCGTCTACAACTGCTGGGTGATGTGCATTCTGCATGCAGGTTACACCAGAGCAGGGGGTGGGGTGGGTCATGCGGGTCATACCTACAGGAGACACAGGAGCAGCAGGACAGCAGGGGACGCAAGGGACGTCCACGGGGCACCATCTGATTCCACCTCCCTGCTGCCGAAGCCAGGAGAGCTGGGTACGGGGGCGGAGGCCCCGCCCCGCCCGGTCAGCCTCCCACCGCGGTTCTACAGAAGGGGACTGGGTACATCCTTCAGCAAAGAGGAAGCTACTGAGGAAATCTTGCTGCTTCAGAAGTGGAGCTGTGAGCGGCTTGCACCTCCCAGAGGCTTAGTCCAAAAACTTCCTGTTGGCATTGGCACCAAACAAGGCTCCCCGCACTTCTGGCATCATCTGTGAAAAACAATTTCATGAATTGGCATGGTCGCTGGGGGGGGGGGGGGGGGGGAAACCCCCCGGGGGGGGGGGGGGGGGGGGACGAGAACCGCACACCCGCCCGCGGAGGGCGCTGGCGGGGGCCCGGCTCACCTGCTGGGCTATGAGGTCCAGCCGGCTTTCCAGGGTGTTGGACACCTTTATCTTGCGGTCCCCACTGTAGATCTCAACTCCGCCAGCTCTGCAGAGAACGCAAGAATAGCCGCCTTCAGACTGGCAATTCACCTTTTACTCCCTCCAAGGAAGGCTGCTTTGGGCTGTGTGCACGCACCAGTCAATTCAAAGGTAGTTCCGGTGTCACACTGACTGTGGGCATCAGACCTGTCACAGTCCCTAACCTATTTCTGGTGGCTTCCTTCCACATCGCAAGGATTGGGGAGATGCGTGGGGTTCCCTAAAAGGAACCCCATGGGGCTGAGGAAGTGCCTCAGTGGTAGAGTGTTTGCCTTGCATGGATGAGGCCCTGGGTTCGAACTACGCCACAGACGAAACCATACATAAAAACCAGCTAGATGCTGGTGGCTCAACCCTGTAATCTAGCTACTTAGAGAGCTAAGATCTGAGAATCCTGGCTTGAAGCCAGCCCAGGCAGGTGAGTCTATGTGACTTATCTCCGAGTAAGCAGCAAAAAGCCAGAAGTAGAGCTGTAGCTCAAGTGGCAGAGTGTCAGACTTGAGCAAAAAAGCTCAGGGACTGCACCCAGGCTGAACTGAAGTCCCAGTACTGACTGACACACACACACACACACACACACACACACACACACACACAAGTACTGACTCACACACACACACACACACACACACACACACACACACACACACACACACACACACACACACACACACACACACACAAAAGAGGCCTAACCCTGGCAATTCAGGATGCTGAGATCTGAGGATTGTAGTTCAAAGCCAGTTGAATCAGAAAAGTCTTTGAGACTCTTATCTCCCAATTAACCAGCAAAGAGCTGTTAGGTAGAGCTGTGGTCAAGTAGTAAAACACTAACCTTGAGCAGAAAAAAGAGCCGAGGGACGGTGTCTGGGCCCCGAGTTCAAGCCCCAGTCCTGGAGTGCATGCACACATGCACTAAAAGGGCACCGGGGGCTGATGGCTAGCACCGGTGTTTGACATCTGTCATCCCAGCTGCTCAGGAGGCTGACACCTGAGGATCGCGGTTCAAAGCCAGCCCAGACAGGAAAGTCCACGAGACTCTGATCTCCCATGAACCACCAGAAAACCGGAAGTGGTGCTATGGCTCGAGCGGTAGAGCACTCACCTTGAGCCGAAGAGCTGAGGGACAGCGCCTATACCCAGAGTTCAAGTCCCACAACTGACAAAAATAAAAGAGGCCAGAAGGCCATCCATCCCCTGAGACAGAAGAGGAGCGACAACACAAGTCCTTCCTTACATGTCCTCAGGCAGGTAGGCCTCCTGATCGATCTGGACATCAGCGTCTTTTTTGGTGGCAATCTTATACATTGGAATTGCTTTCTGCACTGCAGCCTGGGAAGAGCAGTGAAATCTTTTTAACGGATTCGGAAGCAGGTACGGCAAGCCAGCCAGCCAAGTACACAAACGAGAGCAGCTCTCTGCGTGTGTGGGGCCAAGCTGCCACCCGGAGGCAGAGGGAGTGGGGAGTCACTCTCACTTTGGGGCGGGGGGAGTCTGTGAGGCACCCCTGGACACTCAGGGTTGGAACGCAGGCTCCTGTGCCCGCCAGGCCCACATCCCTAGTCTGACTGTTTTTCCTACAGGGTCGTGTGTTTTTCCCAGCCAAGGCTGCGCACACGCCTATCATCCCAGCACTCAGGCTATGGCTGGTCAGCCTGTCTCCACCACAAACATGGCAGGCTTCACTGAGGTTAGCACCGTGCGTGAGATGCCTCGGGTTCCCACAAAGGCTGAGTTGTTGCCTTTCTGTTTTGATTCTTTTAGGTGCATAAACAGTATGTAACAGTTTTTAAAAAATGACTGATTGTATCCAGTATTTCCAAAACGTCAAGTGCGTACCTTGACCAGAGGGAAGTCTTGCTTCCTGCAGCGCACAAACATCCGGGGCTCCAGCAGCTGGTACAGGCCCTGGGGGAGTCAGTGGACTCATGAGCGGAAGACGCACACCACTCAATAAACCCACAGCACAATGCTACCGGGGGAAAGCACTGCTGCCCGACTTTGCGAAGACAGGACAGGACGAACAGATGGAGAGAAGATCCACGCCCAGGCCCAGTGCCCGGGCAAGGCTGAGGATGGACCTAAGTAGGACAAAGGCTGGAGTCCAGGCATAAATGACAGCCGAGGGAACATTTCAGAATTCAGCTTGGGGAAACTGGAAGCAGATCTGGCCCTTAGGTTGTAAGGTCGTGCAAGAGTAGTAAGCCTGGAAGAGTGAGCCAACTAGACCTCACAGTCCTGACCAGCACATGGGAAACGGCGGCTGGGGCTGGAGCGAGCTGGCACTGGGGCGCACCTGTAAGACCAGCCCATCCAGCAGCACTTGGTATCTGTTTGTATCCTTCACCACCTTGCTGAGTCTCTGTTTTGCCTCATTCAGCAGATCCTAAAGAAGTGGAAAAGAAGAGCATCACTTAAAACACTGCTCATGACCACCATCCACCTCAAATCCCGTCGGCAGGTCTTCATTCAACACGTCCCAAGACACCTAACAAAGCAGATGCGGTACCCGTACAAAGATATAATAAGGAAGCATCATCCTTCTTCTGGAAAGTTCAGTCTAGTGTCCACCAGTGCAGAAAACCATGTAAGTGACACACACCCAGGCTTGCTTCTGAGTCTAGCTCTACTCAGGAGGCTGAAATTCACAGGATCTTGGTTGATAACTAACCTGGGCATAAAAGTCTGAAAGAATTCATCTCTAAGCCATGCTGCTTACATCTGGGGCCGCTGAGATCTGAAGATGAAAGTCTGAAGCCAGTCCAAGCAGACAAATCTGTAGGAGACTCTCTCTCTATAGTTACCTAGCAAAAAGTCAGAAGGGGAGGTATGGCTCCCGTACAAGTGCTCCAGCCTAGAGCAGAAAGGTAAGGGACGGACTGCACCCAGGCCCTGAGTTCAAGCCCTACAGAAAAATACCTAAATAGAGCCCAGCACCAGTGGCTCATGCTTAGGCTACTCAGGAAGCCAAGCTGTGAGGATCAACATTCAAAGCCAGCCCAGGCAGGAAAGTCTGTGAGACTCAGCTCCAGTTCACCACCAGAAAACCAGAAATGGTGCTGTGGCTCAATGTGGTAGAGCACTAGCTCTGAGCAAAAAAGCTCATGGACAGCGCCCAGACTAAGGGCAAGCCCTCTCAAAGAAAGATCAGAA